CTTCCAGGTGGCCTTCTCCGAGGACTAGCAGACCTCATATAGGCACAGCTCAGGTGGGAAAATCTCGGGGAGGCATCTCCCTGTGCCCCAAGATTCCCATCTTCTCCGTTCAGAGACAAGAGAAAAGAAAACCAAAGAGCTCCTCTTTCCATAATTAATTCTCTTTCTGACAAAATCTATCATTTTCTGTCTGCCCAGGCTCCTTTAGACTGAGCTCCTTGAAACCCTCTAGAATCTAGATGACACTGTCGCAGAGAGGCCTGAGGGCACTCAACAAGGCCGGGTATCCCAGGAGCCTCTTCTTACAGCCTCTTACAGGGAGATCGGCCTGGGACCAGAGACCTGGGGGGAAACCTCGTGCAGCTTCCAGCATCTGCAGAGAGCAAAAAAGCAGAGCAGAACTGCCTGGCATCTCATCCTTCCCCCAGTCTGTGGGCCTCCAAGTGCATATGTCTCTAATTTGCATTTTATGGGTTTCTACCTGGATGGCATAATGAATAGCTATCTGTATGCAATATTCCCTTTGCCTCCCCACTCCTGTCAGCTTCATCTAATTAAACACCTACTCCCCCTTCAGATCTCAGGGAAATCTGCCTTCCCCAGAGAAGCCTTCCCTGACCCACTGGGCTAATTATTGACTTATTCACTCTTACTGTGCCAGGCACCTTTTCCTCTATGACCTTTGTTACCGCTTGCAGTCATGCATTCATTTTGCATCATTTTCTTTTATTTCTGCCTGCCTGTCCCGCGGCCATAGCCTCCATGCCGGACCCACAGTGTCCCGTTTATTGCCCTCAGTAATCCTAGCTCTAGGCCAATGCCCAGCACTTAGTACACATTCAACAAATTCTCCTAGATGATAGAATAAAGTTCAAGGAATGGAACTCTCCCCAGAACCCGTCTCTCTTGTTCTACCACAGAGCCCTCCCTGCCTGGCTTGGATTTCTGTTTGCTTTGAGGCTTTGCTTTGCTGATCAAAGGCATGACAGGCAAAGGCCCTCCTTCAAGCTCCAAGCATCTCCTGGACTGCCTGGCCTACAGGAGCCCTTCCAAAGCAGCATGAAAATAAACAAACAGGTATTTTTACAAATGAAGATCTCAGTGCAAAAAAGGCCAAATATTTTTCCAAGAGTAGCGCAAATTTGTTGTTTCAGAAGATTTTTATAAAAGACAAAAATCAATAATGTTTTTGTGCCAGTCGATGAGCTTCACGTTTAGAACAGGAAGAGAATCTAATGGGTGGCTTTTCAACTGCTTTCCTCCCTCAGAAATATGATGCGGTCCTGCCCGAGAGGAGCTTGAGGAGACAGAGGGCAGAAGGCTAAGGACGTTGTCTAATGCAGGGAGGAAGTTTGGAAAGAAGGTCAGACTCTCCCCGACCTGCCAGGTTGGTGACTGGATGGATATTGTCTGCTCTTCAAACTGTCTTTGCATTCAAGTAGAGACCTTCAAGGATATCTGCCAGCAGCCTCCTCACCCCCAGACACCAGGTCTCACCCCTGGGCAAGGGTTGATTCTACCAAGGCTGAGGGATTCTCTGTCCCTGGAATTTGGAATCAGGACCCAGAGCCATGTGCTGGTCTGTTAGGCACTTGAAATGCGATGCCAAGACAGGTCAGGTTGCCACATGCATGAAGAACCACAGAGAGCCATTCTGCAGACAGGGACAGAAGAAGGACAAGAGGGAGAAGATCAAGTGTCCACAAATGAGAGGGCCATCTTATTCCCAACTTTCTAGGCCTGGTCCTTGTCCCTTATGAGGCCAGCCTGAGTTTCCTGTCCTTAGAACCCATGAAGTCCCCTCGTGTCCTTCCAGAAAATGCCCTTTCTATCTCTTGTTGGCAAAGTTAGTTTGACTACATTTCTGTTCCAGATGTATTAGTTTACTCTGGCTCCTGTAACAAATTCCCACAAACTGGGTGGCTTAGAACGACAGAAATTTATTCCCTCTCCCTTCTGGAAACCAGAAGTCTGGAGGTGCCAGCAGGGCTGTGCTCCCACCAAGGCTGTGGGGGAGAATCTTTGCTTCCTCCAGCTTCTGGCGACTCCTGGCTTTCCTTGACTTGTGGCTGCTTCATTCCAATCTCCGCCTCCATCTTCACATGACCTTCTTCTTTCTTCCTGTGTCTTCTTCTCTTCTAAAGACACTGATCATTGGATTTAGGGCCTATCTGGTGAATTCAGGTATCATCTCAATATCATTAACTTAATTACATCTGCAAAGACCCTTTTCCCAAATGAGGTCACTTTTTATAAGTACTTGGGGCTAGGACTTTGGGGGCCACCATTCAACTCACTATACCTTGCATATACATTGAGCTCTAAAACAAGTTTACCAAATATTCCTTACAAAGTAGGGGTGACTAGCTGATGCACAGCCCACAACACAAACTATTTACAGATTCTAAGAGATAAGTAAATAAAGCAACTTGCATTTGTGGGAAAAGTGTTTGTGGCATTTTGTTTTTTTAATATTCTGGGCTGGATTCAAGCCTGGTCTATCATGTTAGAAGTCACTGTCTTCCCTCGTATCCTCTGAATTTGTATTCAAGATAATACAGCTATGCGGCTACTATGGTGTATTGACACTTGCTAGGTATCAGGCACTGTACTTGGCTCTTTACAAGGCATATCACATTGAACCTTCACAACAATCTTTTGAGGCCAGAATTATTATCCCTAGGAGTCACACCCAAGTTGGTCACCACTAGGATGACCTTTTTGACAATCTGGCACATTTGAGGGCTGTGAATATCAGAAGAAAGGTACTAACATGAGTAGTACCTACTATGTGCCAAGCACTGCATTTGGTGCTTCACAGTTGTGATCTCATTTAATTTCCTCCATGAGAAAGATGGTGCAGGAATTAGTGGAAAGTGATCACAGTAGCCAGGGCTTCCCATGGACATAACCTGGTAAAGTAAGTGGGATAAAGTCCCAGTTGTTCCTGCTTATCAGGGCCAATGGGGATCAGCCCCTACAGATCTACTCATAGGAACTCAAGGAAACACTGATGCAGGCAGACACCTGTGTCTGGCAGAATGGTAGTTGTAAACTGAAAATGAGAAAGTACTTCCTTGGTGGGAGGACATCTGTAATACTTTCAACAATAAAGATAAATTTAAAAAAAATAAAAATAAATAAATAAAAGAAAGTTTTTTTCTTGCTTGAGAAGCTGCTAATGTCACCTCCCAAATTGCGGGCCTGGACAGGAAGTGAGGCAACCTCCAAGGGTAAGCTTCAAAGTGAAGACTTCTCTGAACACATGTTCCTTCCTAATGCTTTTCTACCCCAACCCTAGGAAAGCTTCACTCTAGTCTCATAATTTCCCTCTTCTATTACCAATGCTATCTTTTCCCTCCTCTAACCGTGAGAGTTGAGGACACACAGCTCAAATAAAGATCACAATCGACCTTCCCCTTTATTCTTCTTCATGTAGCTCTATTCACAGTCACCCACGTCAGGTGCTCCCCTGACCCAGAGCCATCAGCCATCAAGTCCTGCCTACCAAGCTGTCCCCTCCATGACTTCCTCTCTTCTCTAACCATCATTGCCCCGGATCAGGTCCCCAGTATCTTTTTCCTGACTCAATCAGGTATCCCTGCCTCCATCAGCTCTTGATTTGATCTTGTTGTTCCTTTGCTTTCAACTCTGTGATGCCCACCTACTCCCCATTAACCTAAGCAGTGGTTTTCAAAATGTGTCTGGAGGAACCTCAGCTTAATGGGTCTTGCTGAGGTTTTAATGAGCCCAGTAAAAAAAATTCTGCTGAGTTTAAACTAATTGAGAGACACAGGATTCCAACAGATGGAAATGAAAATAATCATGTTTATTACTGCAAAACAATATTGGAGGACATGGCTTAGCTCTGGCCAAGTAGCATGAAAACACTTCCCTGAATTAAACCACAGATGCCCTAAGCCGTAGAAACATTTCTCCTCTTGAGACATGATTGTTCCTTAAGAGGAGGGTTTTCAGATATGAATAAAGGAGTGTGAATTTATGTGCAAACCCAGGAGTTAGACTCTTATAGAAGTTGTCAGGCAGCATTTCCCAAAGTGTGTTCCATGGAACACTAACCTTGAGAAGAGATGACCTGGAACAAAAATGTTCCATGGTCAAATGCCTTTAGAGAAAATTACACAATGTTCTCCCTTGAGAATCGTAATGCACCCATGAGCATATTAGAGGCTCCCTGGTCTGCAGTAAGGAATGACTTTGCTTATCAGAGGTTAGCCCATTGTTTCCCAAAATTATCTGACTTAAAAAAAAACGTTGGGAGTGGTAAGTCTCTTTATATTTCTATGTGACAGAAACTCCATGGGAGGAAGGGGAGGAAGGGCTTGAGCTTAACTCCCTCCCCCTCTCTTCAACTCAGTTTTTCCTAAGTGGACCTTTGTTGTTCATTTTTGTTGCTTCTGATAGATTGTGGCTGTAAAGTGTCTTCTGAAATTTTGCTGTTTTGATATTAGAATGAGCACTTAGAAATGTTTTAATAAAAAAGTTTAGGACTCAAGTAGAGAGCAATAAGAGAATTATTGATTTCACAAACTAAGTGCAATTTATTCAAGGTTTACGTGTGACCTCTGAACTCTAATGCAAAGGCAAAGCCATTTGTAGCGGCTTTGTGGTTAAAAGTATTATGAAGTCCTTTGAAAGATCCTTGGCACAGTTGAGACATGTGGAATAGTTTCAAAGTAGAAGATTCCTAACCTTCATATTACATTGGAAGTATGTGTCAGTTTTGTTTATTAGAATACATGAATGGAGTAGTAAATGCTGTGTTGGGAAACTGTCCTTGGCCAAAGACCATTGGCTCCTATTCTTTAGGAAAGGGATCCACCCCCAACTCCAATCCCAGAGATCTTTGAGGTAACTGAAGAACATGGAAGAAGAAAGGTCTGCCTAGCTAAGCAATTTTGTGGAAAGGACCGTACACTTCTCAGTCTAGAGTCTTAATTACTCTTGCTCAGATGAGAATGACTATAAAAATGTATGTGGTCTAAATAGGGCAGAATAAATGTTCTTCGCCAGCTCTTGAATTGTCTTCAGTCCAAAGACATTTTGACCTGAGCCAGGAAGTAAGACAGTGAGGATAAAAACATCTGAAACTCATGAACATCTTCAAAGGTATCAGAGGATGTAATGAGCCCAAGTGTGGTTTGAGGAAAAGTAGCGTTAGCAGAAATGAGAACAGAATTTGCTAGAGGTTGGATGAGCATCTAGGTCAATTTCTATAGCGTTCCAAGGAAAGAGAGGTTTTGACAACCATTGGCTTATTTGACCGATGCATTCAGGCCCTCAAATGGATTTCTTTTAAATATGTATGTATAAAGCCTGACAAGGCTCTTAATAAGTCAAAAACTTTCAATGAATCCAATAATTGTCAAAGCTCCTCTTCAGTTTGTATAAAAAACATACCCACAGATGTGCTTTCCAGGGTTAATGGTCATAAAATTCTAGTCACTCTTCTACCCGTAGTTTACATATACCAAGTGAATTCAAATCATTCATTCAACACACTTTGAATACCTGGTCCTGGAGTGATAAGGAGTTATTGTCCCTGCATTCAAGAAGCACAGTCTAGTTGGAATGACAGGCAAATTTAAACACCCTTTGGAGTGACAGAGACAAGGATAAAAGTATGTGCTAAGAACAATGAGGTCTAAGGAAGGGGTGTCACAATGCCTGGAAGAGAGGATAGAGAGTCCTGTAAGAATAAAGGGGCAGTCTGGCAAGAAGGCAAGGGAACTTTATTATAAAAGAACTGCCTATGCAAAGGCTCTGAGGTCTTGAATTGAGAGTCCAGACATAAACTCTCACATTTATGGTCAATTGATTTTTGAAAAGGGTACAAGACAATTCAATGAGGGAAAAAATAATCTTTTCACCAAATGGTCTGGGACAACTAGATATCTACATGAAAATGTATGAAGTTAGACCCCTACCTCATACCATATACAAAATTAATTCAAGATGGATTAGACCTGCCCTGTCTGGTTTGGCTCAATGGATGGAGCATCGGCCTGTGGACTGAGGGGTCCCAGGTTCGATTCCGGTCAAGGGCACTTGCCTGGGTTGTAGGCTCGATCCCCGGTGGGGGTTGTGCAGGAGGCGGCCAATAGATGATTCTCTCTCATCGCTGATGTTTCAATCTCTCTCTCCCTTCCTCTCTCTGAAATCAATAAAAATATTTTTATAAAGATGGATTAGATCTAAATGTAAGAACTAAAAACATAGGTATGACCTTGGATTAGGCAATGGTTTCTAAGATATGACACCAAAAGCATAAGCAAGCAAAGAAAAACTAGATAAATTTGACTTCACCAAAATTTTAAAACTGTACTTCAAAGGACACTATCAAGATAGTGAAAAGACAATTCACAGAATGAGAGTAAATATTTGCAAATCATACATCTGAGAATGGACTTGAATCCAGAAATATAAAGAACTCTTAAAAATTAATAATAAAACTTAACTACTAATAGCCTACTGTTGACCAGAAAGAAGCCTTACCAATAACATAGTCAATTAACATATTTTGAATATTATATGTATTATATACTGTATTCTTACAATAAAGTAAGTTAGAGAAAAAAATGTTATTAAGAAAATCGTAAAGAAAAAATACATTTACAGTACTATACATAATTATTGAAAACAATCTACATATAAGTGGACTCAGGCTATTCAAGGGTTAACTGTATTCAAGGCCCTATTGGCACTTTTCCAACTTGTAGTACTAACCTCATAACGTCTTAAAGTAAGCTGAAGTAAGTCAATATTTTGTAATTAGAGGAAACAAGTACTTCAAAATTCAGTGGTCAGATTTTTACCCAATAGGAAAGGGTAGTCAGAAAGTGTTGCTTTACAACATCTTATAACCTAACCTAACACTTGAACACATGCTTATTAGCTATTTGCCGTGTTAATAAGACTTCTTTGTCTTTTGGGGGAACCTGAAGAGTAAGCAGAAGAAAGATGCTCAGCTAGGGTCCTTCTGAATGTCTGCTAATGTTGATTCTTTAGTTCCTCTGGTTGTGAGGTAGAAGGAACAAAGAGCTAGTGTATTATATACTGTATGTCATGGTGGTCACCTGGTCAGAATCTGGGCACAGATGAACCTCACTTGGAATACTGTCCCTGCCACTTAGTAGTTGTGTGACCTTGTGCAAACTGCTTAGCATCTCTGTGCCTCCATTTCTATGCTTAACTTCATTTTTATTTGAGGGCTTATTTCAGTCGTAGGATGCCCATTAATAGTACCTTTATTTTAAAAAGGCTTTTAGTAGGCACTTATGAGTAATACATCTTGGTAATTTTTTCCTGATTACAAAAAAAAAACACACGACAGTGTTGAGATTTTCTGCACATCAGTATCTTACCTTCTTTCATTAGTTCTGTTTTATTTTGCTGTGTTTATTATTAAGTTACTTGTCAAAGTACTTCCCTGAAACTCTGCTATCAATCAGGAAAAAAAGAATTAAAACATTTGCTTGCTAAATGTATTTTGTTACTAAATTCTGGCTCTACTGGTGCTTAGCTAAAGCAGACAACACAGATGCAGAGTCAGAATGAGTATGCTTAGCTGTAGAACCCCATTCTTCTGATGAGTACAGGGCAGTAAGGAACAGTGAGGGCAAGAGGCAGTTTACATCTCCTTGGCTCAAAATTGCCTTCTAAGGCCCCATTCATCCCAGGAATTCTTTGAGGCTTACGCAGAAGTCTTTGTTACAATGCAAATGCCCCAAAAGACCTATGAGTCAACCATCCAGGCAATTCCTTTTCATACTGTTCTAAAACCTGGGCAGAGAAAAGAGGTCCCTGCCCTAGAGGACCCCACATTATCTCTCTCTCTCTCTCTCTCTCTCTCTCTCTCTCTCTCTCTCTCTCACACACACACACACACACACACACACACACACACACACTCGCACACGCACACGCACACGCACACACATTAAGTAACACGTCACTGGGGACCTGATGCTCAGAACGGACACATCACTACCCCTAATCCTAAACTAAACATCCATTCTTGGGACCACCACCTCTCAGGCCCCAGGGAAAACTTTTCCACATTTTACCTTTTGTCCTCAAAACCAAGGCTCCTGGGTCCCAGTGCTGTGAAGGTTTGTGGGTTGCTGCTGCCAACATCTGAGCTAGACATTGTTCCAGAGGGCACAGGGGATTGAAGTGGTAGGAGCCTGTTGCAACAGAAAAGGCAGATTAATTAACTTGTCAATTCCTTCCTCTCAGACAGCATGAATTACACAGATTTTTGTGTAGTACAGTGTTCTTCCTGCCAATGCTGAGCATCTTTTTCTTCCTTTTATTTGTGTTCCATTTGTAGTTTCTAAAGTCATGATGAATTAACATAACCACACAAAAAAGTGCATGTGGGCAGTTGAGAAACATGTTATAATATTAAACAAATCTTCCTTACCTGGTAGGGGAGATACCAGGATCACCAAGGTCTTTTTCCCAGGGAGAGGCTCACCCCATTGTAATCCTGGAGTGCTAACCCCTGCGATTTCCACAAATGCAGGAAACTCAACTGCATAATTTGTGGTAGTGGGAGACTGCATTTGTGCTTTCCCCTAAAAAAACAAATTCATATTACTCAAATATATTTGTAAATCTAGGGTAACATGATTTACTGGTATATTGGCAACTGAGTTAAAAGGATGAATGCTGGAATTGTGAATAGTTTTATTTTTGTAAAAATATTTAGAGTTAATTCTATTTTTGAAATGTCAAATAAAAACTGTAGCTTTATTTTTTAAAAAATATTTTTATTGATTTCAGAGATGAAGGGAGAGAGAGAGAGACAGAGAGAGATAGAAACATCAATGATGAGAGAGAATCATTGATTGGCTGCCTCCTGCACAACCCCCGCTGGGATCGAACCCACAATCCAGACATGTGCCCCAACCAGGAATTGAACCTTGACCTTCTGGTTCAAAGGTTACTCAACCACTGAGTCACGCCAGCTGGGCTGCAGCTTTATTTGAACAATTTTATTTATAACATTTTATCCACTATTAAGATTTTTTTCATGCTTTAAAAATAAAATTTCTTCTAAAATATTCAATTCTTATTTTTAACATTTATTTTCATTTACATTTTTGATGGAAATATATTCAAATTTGATACTCTGTGAATATAATGACATGTTAATTTTAATCCTTTAGATCCTATTGTCAATGGCACATAAATTATGTGTATATTTTGATTATAATGAAATAATTAGTGAATTTTTTTCTGGAATGAAAGCAAAAAAATAAGTTATACAGAATATATAAATCATAAAATATGCCTTATGTTATCCTCATCCAAATATTTCTGGGCCATCAACAGCACACATCCTATATAATAAAAGCCTAATATGCTAAGTGTTCGGTCAGCCGGTCAGCCATTCAACCAATCAAAGCATAATATGCTAATGATATGCTAAGGCCATTCAATGCTCGCTATGATGTGCACTGACTACCAGGGGGCAGACGCTCTGACCGGTAGGTTAGCTTGCTGCTGGGGTCCAGGCAATCAGGACTGAGCGAGAATGGCCGGACACACCCTGGAGCCCTCCCATGGTCCCTTCCCAGCTGGCCAACCTCCCGTGTCCCTCCCCAGCCCCAATTGTGCACCATTGGGATCCCTCGGCCTGGCCTGTACCCTCTCGCAATCTGGGACCCCTAGGGGGATGTTGGAGAGCCGGTTTCAGCCCGATCCCACAGGCCAAGCCAAGGGACCCCACTGGTGCACTAATTCGTGCACTGGGCCTGTAGTATAATAATAATTAAGTTCAATTGTCTTTGATATTTTGCCAACTTTCAGTCATTTAAAACTATAGTTTTCCAATTTTTAAAATAATTTTGCCATTATGAAGCCATATTTGTCATTATAGACGGAGAAGACAAATTCAATTTAACAGCTTGATTTATAATTTTTAAACATTTAGACCATTTGTACTCTAGCCTGGACCCCGCATATTTTAAGGATGGGCCCAATTGCTTCAATTAGATAATCAGATGGTTCTTTTTCTAAAATTTAGCTATTAATAGTTAACTTATTGACACTAAGTATGTCAGACTTTAAATGAAGTAACTTCTACATATGAACCTCATTAAATCCTCTCAATAACCCGGGTCATAGGTAATTTTATTACCTTCATTTTACAGAGAGGAAACTGAAGTTTGGGGAGTTTAGGTGGCTTGCTCAAGGTCATATAACCATTATGTCCTGGAGCTGGGATCTGCCCCCAGGAGGTCTGCGTACCTTTAGGAAAGGGCACTCTGGGAGAGCTGACCTTGATTGGCATCCCTAACAGAGAACTTGGACACACAGAAGGCAATGTGAGGGGTCAGGATGCTGGGAGAAAGGGCTGCAAAAAAAAAGTCCCCAACTGCACAGTCAAGCTTGAGATCCAATGTCACCTCCAGGGAACAGCCGCAAGCACCAAAGGCTACCAAATGTCTGGATGGACAAGGACTCCCGGTGTCACTAAGTCTACACATTCTACTGATGTCAATAATGGGCACATAAGAAAAAAATCCATTTATCTTTTTGCTCTTGAATGCTCAGTCATTTAACAGGCAGATTTAGAGGACTGGTTCCTCCTTTCTTATTTCCATCTCTCTCCACTGCTCCCTCCCTTCCCCCCTTTTCTTGTAATAAATATATATTCTGCTACTACAACACACTAAGCACAATGCTAGGTACTGAACAAAGCAGACAGGGCCTTGTACATACGGAAATTATTATCTAATGGAGAGACAGACAGAAAATCAACATGAAATACTGAAAATTACGACGATGACACAAAACATGGAGGAGAGGTGGAGCACACTAGGAAAGCATACCAGGGGAATCTGGCCCAGTCTCAGGGTACCAGGGAAGATTCCCTGAGAAAACAACATCTGAGCAGTGATCTGGGTGGTAATCGTGGTTAAGAATACACAGGTTCAGGGGGATATGACAGGCTGAGCGCCCTGTGAAGGAAGGGAGCCTGTGGGTTTGAGCATGAAGGCTCTAACTGGAGGCCAGTGAGTCTGGATATATGAATGGAAGGCAAGGTTCCAGACCTTCCAGATGAGGAAGTGCCCAAATTATGGCCCACTGCCTATTTTCATAAAGTTTTATTGGAGCATAGCCACCCTCATTTATTTACTTATGCTGATGGCTGCATTTGGCTACAATGGCACAGTTGAAGAGTTAAGACATAGACCTTATGGCCCACGAAGCCTGAAATATTTACTCTCTGCCCTTTACAGGAAAAATCTGCAGACCTCTGATCCAAACCATGGAGGCCAAGGATCATGCCCTTTATCTTCACAGCCGAGGGAAGCCATCAAAATGTTTTAAAAGGGAAGCGGATAGGAAATAATGGGATCTGATTTTCATGAGGAACGCTCAGGAGCCAACTAAATACTTACATTACTTTGCAGAGCCAGGCCCTCCAAAGACCCCTTTGAGGAAACTGGCATTAATCTCTGCAGGAATGGGTTCTAAGTCCTTTCTTGCCCGTGGCAGGGGCCCTATCAGTTTTTTCCTACCTAAGCCCCTTGTATTAGTCAGACTCCTTTGGAGCAAGTGACAGTAGCAGAAGCTAAGCCTTCTATACAGTGGGAAAGGAATGTACTGGTTCATATCACTGGGAAGGGCAGCGGGGAGGCTCAGAGAAGGCAAGAAGAACAACAGAAAACAAAGCCTACCCCACTTGAACCTAGGGACTCGCCATCTTAAGAACCATCTTTCCATTCACTTTTCACCTTTACTTGACTCTGCTTCACTTCCCGCACAAACATTTTCCACTGGGCAACTAACCCCAGAATCACATTCTGCCAAGGTTGGCCACCCCAGCAGAAGGAGAGACTCTACTTCCAGTGTCTGTGTCTTCTCCTCGGGTTTGGATTCTGATGGGCCCTGCTTGAGTCCCACGAGCACCCTCTCTAGAACAATCAGTGTCAGAAGGGATTGGGTACTATAAACTGGCCAGACACGGATCACATGCCTATCCTTAAGGCCAGGGGGTAGGGCCTGGGAATGAAAAGCCTGAGAGCACAACCTAGAAGGGGAGACCAAAAAAATAATAATAAATAAATAAAATAAAATACAAACAACAGGATAGGGCTGCTATATTTGCCAGGCTGGTCCCCACAAGCTGTGAGGGAAAGCCACCCCTGCTCTCATGACAGAGCTGACTGAATCAGAGATCAGTCCTGGAACAGCCTGCAACACCTATGGGCTGGACACAGGGAGGCTGGTCAGCTAGCTCCGAAGTGACTCGGCACAGATGTCCAGCAGGAGCCCTCCACTGAGTGGCCGAAAGCTAACGAATCAGACCTTCCTGTTTGGAAATAGAAATGCCAGGTCAGCAGAAGAGGAGGGCTGTTTGCACTCAGGTTGATATTGCCAACAATACTTAGAAATGTGTCCAGGTTTCCGTGTAGCTCACTCCCCGTCCCAGGGTATAAATAGAACTCCACACACTAAATCTCCTTGGCTGAAGGAAAGCCGGGCTTGACTTCTAAGGAATTTGCCTGTCTTGGTCAGTACACAATCCAATGCTCTGGAAACTTCTTTCTCTGTCTTTTAAAGAATGGTTTCTGTCATTAAATTTCACACAGAAAGAAATGAACTACTCTTCTGGCAAAGAATATTACGGTCAACATAAAGATTCCCTCGTTGGAAAGGAATTTAAACATGTTGCTAGGTGGCCAGGGAAGATTTGATCACAAGGCTTTCCGGGAAGGAAGCTGAATTGAAAGCTAAGTATAATGGCAATAATAACCTACTGGTAGCTGGGCAAGAGTCCTGGCTTCAAGCCCTTGTTGGGGATCATCCGCAAATCACCGCTCCTCTCTTTCTTCCGGAAAATGAAGTTTCAAAATCATGCATTCGTTCTACAGAGCTGTGTGGCTGCAGCAAGAGGCTGGTGTGGCTGAAGAGTAAATAAGGTAGAAGGTGGCAGGTGAGGCCCCAGAGGTAACAGGGGCCAGGTCATTTGGCTTTTACCTTGCTTGAGAGTGGGAACTAGATTCATTTCTTCTGGCTGCTATAACCACTTACCACACAAGTTGAGTTTTAAACAACACAAATTTAATTCTTACAGTTCTGAAGTTCAAAAGCCCAACCTCCAGCAGATCTCACTGGACTGAAATCGAGGTGTTGGCAGGGCTGCGTTCCTTTCTGGGGGCCCTCAGGCCATTTCTTTGCTGCCTCCAGCCTCTGGCTGCCTTGCTCCTAGCCCCCTTCCATCTTCAAAGCCAGCAGCGCCGGGTTGAGTCTTTCTCCCATCATGTCGTTCCGATCTTCCCGTCTGCCTCCCTCTTCCACTTTTAAGGACTCTTGTAATTACATTGGGCACAACAGGGTACTCCAGAGTAATTGCCCTATTTTAAGGTCAGCTGATTAGCAACCTTTAATTAGCAACATTAATTCCCCTCTGTCATGGGGAATTCTCACAGGGATTAGGATGTGGACTTCTTTGGGGTTGAGGGGGCATTATTTCACCCATCACAGGAGCCACTGGTGTTTCTGAGCAGATGACATGATCAAACTTGTGCTTTAACTTGGTCACTTTGGCTTCTGT